AGCCTGTTAGATAATCCACTCTGGATACACACAGTATCTGGGTGAAATGTTGCTACATACAAAAAAATAAATGTTTTCCCCAAACAAGCAGATGACTAACATTTAACTAACAAAATGCTAAACTAAAAGATCTACAAGTACAAGATGGACTGGCACCAAACATTCACGGTTACCAGAATATTACAAATTGGTTCAAAGGAAGTGAAAACTAGCATGTAAGACATCTGGAGGTTAATTGGCATTCATGGAAAATCAAGAAAACGAAGCAAACATAAAGAGATGTGAAAAAACATACTGAAACAAACTTAGTGAAATCAGAGACTTACAATGACACCACTCTAAATTATGCCAACATGTTTGATCACCTAGAAACCTTTTTTTATAGATTTGGAGAAGGAAATAAAACCTGTTGTGTTTCTTAATTCTGCGGGTATTCAGAAGAAACTCACTGCCATCTTTACAAAGTTCTCTAGTAGATATGCACGGATTGATTTATTTTTCGTAATGAACTCATTTAGTGACGGAGAGCATACTATGAACAATTGTAGACACAAATAAAATGTCTATAAAGTTAATCAAATTTGGAAAAAAAAACATGTTTATTTAAAAATGTACAGTTATGATTTGACTTTTTGCATGATGTTTTTAAGGCCTGCTTATAAAGTCTTTCTACTGACTGTAATGTGGCCCAACTTGTAGGTCATTTAAGTGAGAATGATGGCCTTGATGCACATTTTGATATGCTAATGATTCCTGCTTAAATGACACTTAAAACAGTTTGTAACTTTTCAAAGCATGCAATACAAACGCAACAGCTAAAAAGAATGCCAAATAATTAAAGGTGATGAATATTATAATTTAAAATATTAGAACTATTAGAGACATCAACATTTTAGCATTTTCCTCATACTGCAGACTGACAGAGATGGTGAGTGGCTGTGGGTTCTAGGTTTCAAGATTCAGTACATTATACTGGGGGAACAAATTACACATGCATGCATACTTATATTAGCATTGTATTATGTCAGCCGGTCATCAATAATCTGACCTAAATGAGTAGTTGGTTTGATGTTGTGAAAATCAAACCAACTACTTCACCAAACACTTGACAAGGCACAAAAACGACTTCAAAAAACCTCAGCAGCTGCAGTGGAACAGACCATTTGTCACCTTTTGTTTTTGTACAACTTTCCAATTATAGATAAGGCTCATAACACACTGATACCACAGCCCCAGTGAGACAGTGACGCATTGACTGTTACTGTTTGCATAACACAAATCACTGTAGTTACAGTAAACACAGTCGTTTGAAAAGAAGTTTTCTTCTCAAGTTTGAATTTCAACACGCCGTGGCTGAACCTTTTGTGACTCTGAGCAACAATAACATCAATTAAATCAATCACGTGACCTTAAACATACAACATGACAATGTGGGTACCGCCACTGTTTTAGATAAATGGCTTTTCTGGTTTTACCCGTGGAAGTGGTAAATAGAATTTTTTCTCACACATCTGAGTTTTTTCACTCAAATGTTATCCACTACTGACTTATTCTTCCTTTTAGAAATGGTGGAATTTAGTGTTCGAGGAGCACAGTGAGTTTGCAGAGGGGTGAAGTGCTAAAATGGCCTTCAAAAAGGTCGCATGTCTCAATTTTCAGCAACTTCACTGGTAAAAAAAAACACCCCCAAGATAGTTCAGTTTTTGTTTATTTTATTGAGCTTGGCTAACTGCTCATTTCTTTTACTGACACTTTGGTATTAATTATACAACACAGCTTTGTATCTTGTATTACTTTTAGGTGCCTTTTCAACTCATTGTAATTTTTATGCATACTCAATCACAACACATCGTTATTCAAATTGATGGGAGGTACATCATCATCATCATTGGCAGCTTGTAATTTAGTTGCTGCTGTGACAATAAACAGTGAAAATATCATCAGCTGTTTAATTTGTTACAGCAGTTGTGTTTCATCTGGTATATACATCAGTCTGACACAATATTGAAAACCTATGACAGATTTTTCTGTTACACTGCAATGTGTTCTGGGAAATCTGGGTTCCTGTAACATCCTCCTATGTTCACATACCACCCACTGCACACCCTACAGTGGTTGGTACTGAACGGGATGATGTGCGCACCATATAAAACTGCTTGGGAATGGCTCAAGCATTACAACAAAGGGCTCAAGTCCTGCTTCCAAACTTGCCAGATCCAATTCAGCTGAACATCAGCATGTGTTGTAATAAGCTTGATACCAACAGGCCTCACTCTCAAACCCCACGGCCAAAAAGAAATAAATAGAAGAGGCCTTCCCAGCAACCAGTGTTCTTGCTTTATTGGGTGAGAACTGTTTGGTGGCAAGTTAATGGCCTACACAATATTAGGCAGCTGATCACTGGATGTATATGTTATTAGTTGAGAAAGTTTATTTCAAGCAGAACTGCTGTAGAAGTATTTTTAAAAGGGAATTACAAAGCTCCCCCAAAAAACATCACCCTCCTATATTTCCATCGTAAATCTGCAGCTGTTCTTCAGAATCCACACTGCTGTAAAATCCAAGCCTGTGAGAATACGTTTTGATTCCAGCATGTGCGCCACCAACTCCCATCATGAGCTCTCAAAAAGAATTTTTAGTCTCACAGAAGCCACACAGGAGCTACAGGGGTCCCATTAAAATGCTATCTTTGACTGCTCATATCATTCTGCACCTGACATACACTGTAAGTATGAAGCAATATGTGGAAATTTAAATCTGAAGAAAATACAGTCAGTGTTCAAATGTTTTTAGGTCGTTTCAGCAGTAAAGCACCCAAAAGTGTGTCTGTCAGTTGTTGTCTGAACTGATGCTGGAATCTGTTTGTGGAGAGGTGCTGGCCAGAACTATTTCTTGTGTCATTTGGTGGAAAAGTAAATGTGCTTCAAATTTCAGAACTCCGCTCCAACTTGTGATTTCTGTTTTCTGCCTCTCGGGCCGCTCGATCAAGCTCAAACAGAAATAGTCACCGTGGTATGTACAGGCAAACTAACCTCCTTAGAAATGTTACACCAAGTAAAGAGATTATGAAATGATATGCTAAATAAAGATGTTTGCTTCATATGCCCATACTAAGCATAACTAAACCCAAGGATTGGGGATTTTATACACAGCGTGTCCTTTTTTTGGTTAGTCAGAATTGGACCCTTCACAAAGTAAGATGTTTGGGCACTCAATATTAATTTCTAACGGCATGTTGGAATTTCCGTCTGTTATCTGCCTTCTGCAGACTCAGTCCCTCTGCGCTGCACTCACAGTTTGCTAAGTGGCTTGTCACCATTGTTTGCATTCACACCAAATGACTATAAAGCTTGTTCATTGGTTTCAATAAAGCTAACAAGCGCATTTTTCAGTGTGGATGCACAAAACAAAATAGCTGACTGTTTCTAAATGTCAACCTATTCCCCCAAGTGATTTATACACAATCATACTGCAAATACACAGAATTGAATTTGCCAACACATAACAGGCTCACAGTGTAGATTTAGAATGAGACTGGGCTGGATGCTCTGCAGACTTTGTAAGATCAATTTGCGTGAGAACCGTTCATGAAAGATGCAGTACCAGAATTCACTGCAGAGGATATGTAAAAACCGAACTCGCTGCTGAATGTTATTAAAAGTATTGCTGGAATCTTCTTGAGCCGTGTACTTCGAAAAGATAGATTTATAGATGATGCAACCAGTTATTTTTGGCATAAAAAATAGGGTCAGAATTATTTTCTCTTGAATGAAATGTTTCACCTCAAATTCTAAAACTACATGCATTAATGTGCCTCACTGGCCATCTCCACCACCCTGTGAATGCTTTTCACCTGAACCTGGCTGCAGGAATCTGCTCTCATTCAGCTACAACAACTTTGGTGAGATTGGGCACCAATTTAGTTGATAAGGCTGAATTTAGAGCAGTTAGTCTTTCTAATGTCCTGGCTATAGTTGTATAAAGTCAGACAGGTTATGTTATTTTGACTCTGGCAAAAAGTACATTGAAAGTCTATTTCTCTCTTTGCAGGTGAAATTCAGCTTACTATATCTCCAAAGTAAACCCCATAAGTGGCACATATTTGCACTATTTCTTCTGCACGCAAATGCAAATAGAAAATAGGCAAAATATTAATTTCTCTTTTTTATGGATTTGGCTATTTATTTAAGTTAAATAAAAGCTATTTAATGCACGCCAAGTTTAATTCTGCACCTGTCTTGTATACTGGTTAGCACTGCACAGTAAGAAGGTTCTTGCTTTTCTGGGACCTTTGTGCTCCCTGTGCCAGGTGGATTACCTCAGAGTGCTCCTGTTTGCTCCTGCGGCCCAAAGACATGTTTAATTTTTTTTCTATATTAACTGGTGCAGTTTAGTTTGCTGCAGGTGCTGATTTGATATACCTATAAAGCTTTGTGGTGTCAGTAAAACTGGAAAACTTACTGGAAACACAATTTTGCTCCCTCTGAATGTGTAAAAAATTAGAGGATTGTCAAGAGTACATCAGGCAGTAGCCTACCTACTACAAGTACTGCTGCAGTGTCAAGCACTTGTACCCCTAAAGGTAAACTAGCTTATTTTCTGAGCGTGTAGTTACATCAGATTGGGAAGCTCTTTTCTTTATGCTCGGGCTTTGTCCACAGTTGAATTTTGGAGAAAAGAAACAAGCACATGTGCTGACTGGAAAGCGAAAATAATCAAAAACTACGTAGCTTTGTTCATATTGGATAAGCGAGGAGGCTTACTGGGGCAACAAATCACAAGGAACATTTTTGACACGCTGAGAATTTCACATAAAAGTCAAGTTCTGATCATTTTGTTTGATCTTCTTTCCCAACTTGGAAAACTGATAGAAAATGCTGATTGTGTCAGTATTACGTCAATGCTCTAGCGATCCCCCCCCCCCCCCTTTTTTTTTTTTTTTTTTTTTTATTCCACGTTTTACCTGCCGGGACAAGCCCCATTTGGAGATAAAGCTAGCCCTGACGCTGACGCGCACTCGGGAGCGCGCACTCCGGAGTGGTTGACTCTCCTCATTATAAAGAAGCAAGAGACAGTCCGGATACTCGGCACATCCCGGAGAGCGGACTACAGAGCTGCTGCGCTGCGTTTCGGTCCTGTCCTGCTGTCAACCTGCAGCCATATGAGCGAACTGCTGTTTGAGGCTTAAATAACACCAGAGGAAAACAAGGAGAAACAAACAGAAAGTAAGGAATCATCTCTGTTATAATCCTGGAAAAACGAATTACATCATTGCCAGAGCAAGTGCTTAGATTGCTTACTATTGCGGCTAATATCGTTTCTTTGGTTTCCAAACATTGTTTCAGGTGTTTCTGTGACGTTTGTAAATTCCTGCTATTTTATTCGCTCTGCCCTTTTTAAATAGATATTCATACTCAAACAGCAGACTGGGTCCAATTCCCAGTTCTGATGCCATCATGGACTTGAATCTTTATTTCTGAATCCTTTTATTGCAAATGTTTTAAAGAGGATTGCTTCTGTCCGTCTAGTCCTTAATATTGTCACACAGACCATTTTAATAACTTAATTAATGCCGAGGTTTTCCTTTCAGATTCACTGATTTTTAAAAAAAACGCGGTTTGACTGGCAGGCAGAGCGTCGTTCTTAACGGTTGTGTGCAACGAGTGAGTGTTTGCAAACATCGGATTAGATATGGCTTGATGGCGGAAAAACAGATTTGACTCGACAATTAATTTAACTTTTGTGTGTCCTGCTTTCATGCTTTTAAATCAGATCAGCATTACAAAGGAACTTAATGGATGAATGGTGTGGATAGTTATAAATGATCGGAGCGATTATCTCTTCCTGACAGCTCATTGTTGCTCACTGCACACCAAAGACGCTGTGTGTAATGGTGCGTGCGCGTGTGTGCTCGCGTGTTTGTTAGAGAGAGTGAGTGAGAGAGAAATGGGGGGAGGACTCTGTGTGTCACCTTGCAATTAAAAGTGAAAGGAGCAATTTTTGCAGACTCACTTGAAGGAGTTAATGCTAATTAATAGCAAGTCAATCAAGCAGGGGCGCATTAGACATGATCAGAGGGAGTGTGGAGGAACCCCATCGTGAGTGGACCTCGGGCCCAAATAAAACTGATTCGATCTTAAGTGAGTTGGAAATGAAAAGATAACTCAAGGACACATTTACAACATTTGATGTTCAAGTGGAAATTAATTTTGTGTCCTTTTCCAGAGTCGTTTCAAAGACTTGGAAGATAGTGGTTTGTCGTTAATGTTGTGCCTGGCAGAAGCCGCACACACTGTGATAAACCGAACTAGCATCTAGTCTACTGGTATCAAAGACCGATTGAAATTACCTCAAAAGAATCACTGTTTGTTTTCATTTTGCTCTTTCACTCACTGCACAATCAAATCTCCTCATTTCTTTAATCTTTTATTGATTTTCAGCCAAAAAAGCTACATTGCTAAACTCCCATCCAGTCTCCTCCACCGTGGTGTGAATCTCGCCTTGATCGCCACTGCCAAGCGTGGCTGCATCTGTTTGATCAAGATGCTTTCAACATTGGCAGGCAGTCAGCGCTGCTCGCTTCCACGGAGCGAGCGGGGAGAAGGGAAACTTTGCGTTCATATAATACGTTTGCATGCTTCACTTGATCATCTCTAAACAGGAGTGCCTCCCCCCCTCCCACCTCGCTGACCGGTCAAACTGTTCCCATGCAGAATGTCCAGAGACAGACCCAGGTGTCCACATTTCATGGGTTAGAAAGGGGCAAGTATTGTTGTCAGCTGCTGAAGCCAGCTCTTTGTTGTTTGTTGTGTGTAAGAGGGGACTCAGCTGGTGCCCTTATCTGCCACAAAATACGAGATGCCACGACACTTTGTTCTAATTAAGACAGGATAAATCCTCCCTCTCTTTCCATCTCTCTCTCACACTCTCGCTTTGATTTCAGTCTCTCTCCTCTCCCTCCCTCTCTCTTCCTGCCTCACTCCTTTCTTTCCCGCTCTCCTCTCTCTTAGAATTACATCTTATTTTCTCCTTTTCACTCAGTCCCCCCACCTCCTTTGTCTCTCTCATTCTCTTTCCTCTCTGTGGGATGCCTCTTGCTGTGCTTCTGGTGCTGTTTGTGTCTCACAGCATTTTTGGAACATGCCTCTATGTGGGTGTCTGGAGGAGGTTTCCCCGCTGCGAGTGTGTATTTGTGTGCATACGATGATTGTAAAAGAGAGAAAGTGTGTGTATGTGTGTGCGTCAGTGCATTCAGACGGGCGATAAGGGCCCCATCCCAGGATGTTGCTGATGTTACTTTGCATCAGTGACAATGTTCTGGCCTCGTTCCACATCTGTTGTACCTGCGACCAAATTACCACCGAATCATTTTGTCTCTCCCTGCTCCCTGCTCCGGCTCACTTGGTGACAGATGGACCTTCCTTATGGCTCTTGTTTTCTTTTTTTATCACCCTATGTTGCTTCCAGGGGCCTCCGCCATCCAATAAACACCTAAAAGCTGCAAAATCCTCCCAGTCTATGTGTGAATCCCATTGATATTGTTTGTGGAGGATTGGGGGAGACAAAGCATTTTATATTGCTGAAGTCAGTGGTATTGGCCCTTGAGGAAATGAAGTTTTATGGCGTTAACTGCAGTTGGCAGACATGTTTATTATGCACAGGCATTTACTGGAGCTGTAATTTAGGTGCTTGTTATTGAGATGATATTTATGATAATTTGGTAGCATAAACTAGAACTATTTTACAGACGATAAGGAGACAAGTGCAATACATCAAATATTCAGCATTATTAAAATGGAATGGAGCAAAACTGAGTTATATTTGTGACACAGCAGATTACGCATCTATATTTCTTTGTTTAAATGTGCATTTTTTTTCTTCTTCTCCTGGTTTTCTTTCTGGTTCAAGCATAAACTCGAGCTGCTGCTCAGTGAACCAAGCAGCTGAAAAGAGATAGGTGGCTTTCCTTTTTTCCTGTGCAGCCACACACTCCCGAAGCGACCCCTGGTCTCTTTTTGACAGCCTGTAATAAATTTGCAAATTGAGCATATGCTCACAAGCCTGATTATTAGCTGGTTGATAACTTTCTGCTCCAGTGGATAAGATCTACTGAGTAATTCTGACATTAATCAACAGGAGTGTATTCCTGAGTTAAACTTCAGATCGCTGTATGCGGCCTGGAAACAAAGAAAAAAAGTATCGAAGGTGGCCTCTGTCTGACAACAGTCTGTTCCTGGATCCTTTGTTTCCTTTATCCTTATGGCCCTGCTGGTTGCTATGAGGGATAAAACAAGAGGAGCAGATGGCTCCTGGAGGTTTGGTGTCACAGCAGGTGAAGCTAAAAGATGCACACGTACAGCAGTTTAATACCAGGGTGGCCTCCTGTTCCGCCTCACTGCTTTTCCTCTCTCACTTTCCCAATATGAGCCGCAGATCTGGGTTCAATCTCTGTTAAGTCTATTCTTATATGAGTGTGTCCTGCTTAAGGGACTGACCAATTGATCAAAGCCCAGATAGACGCCCCTGATCTCATCAGAGCTTAATCATCCAGCCCTCTAATAGTGCCCCCTTTGCAATTTCTTGTGAGATTACCTATCATTTCATACTTACTCCGCTCTGATTCATGTGTCCCAGGTGGCACCACACTGTACGCTAGGCTTATAAAAACTGCTACAATATATATTGTGTTTTCTACACACTGTTAGAGATCACCTGCTTTTCTCCTACCTGCTTCCAAAAAATGTGGATTTTGTAAAACATTGTATTGGATTTTATATTACTATACACAGCTTCCCTCTGTACACTGATGAGCTCAGACACCAATAAATCTTTACACCTTTGAGAGTTGAGGTTCAAAGTATTATCCAAGATGCGTTCCTATTAAAAATCTGTTTTTGTGTACTTGGTTGTTATTACTTCTGGACTTTAAATTTCCCATGGCATGATGTGAATCCTCTCCACTTCACATTATAAATATAGTTACACATAAACAGCCAAATATGAGCACCAGATTGCTGGTGATAGATTTTTGTTGTTGTTGACATTAGGAGCAAATAATAAAAATTCTAATTGGTTTTTCAGTTCCTTAAGTTTTTTTTTTCTCTTTCTAAGTCTGGGGGAAAAAAGACACAACTTCATGTTATTTGACAGTGTGTAAGACAGTCACTCACACACTTTGCATTTGTTAGTTATTAAAGCCCTTTCCTAAAATCAAACATTTCTGTCTATGAGAAGACCTAAATTTAGTTGTGGTAAAAACAACTTTTTAATATCTGCAATTATAATGGGTTCCAAATTCCTAATATACTGTTAAAAACACTGTTGACTTTCCACCAAAAATGCAGCAATGCACAAAGTCAGAGCCAAACCCTGCAGGGTTGCTGACATGAATGTAAAAATACAGGATTTAAAGCATTCAAAATAAAATAGAAAGCACAACGAGGTTTTTTTGTGAGAAAAAGAAGATAAGACCAGTCAAAGTTGATGTTTAAAAAAAAAAAAAAGCAGAAAATGTGAAAGAAATAAGCAAAACTCTCCCAACATCAGCAGAAATCCTTGAACCCCCTCAGTGCTATTAAAAGTGTCATTAAATGGGTTTTCGGAGCCTTTTATTCTTTCAACCGATAGCTATCTCACAGAAGCCACGAAAGCTACCGCCCAGCTATAATTTGCTTGTTTAAATGTTGCCATTCAAGTTGCAGATTACCTCAGTGTGGAATTAAAGTTGTCGGGCCACTCGTTTGGCCCGTCATCGCCTCAGTAGCAGAGGCCCTGCTGTGCCCTACCTTCAACACAGGCTTGTATAATACAAGCTCTGGCAAGAGGCTGTGTTGTTCATGGAGGTTGTTTATCACACACAAGAGACTATGCTTAAAATGTGGAATGCCACCCGGAGTGCTCCATTATCATTCCCATCCTGTGTCTCCTCAAAGGGCCACCTGTTAGCAGCACTTGAAAGTATGAGAGAGGAAAACAGGGAGCTGCTATGCCGAGATACGTGGCCTTCCTCCTTCACCGCCTACTTTCTCTTTCACATAGCACATCTATGAAGACCTTACTTTGGAATGGGTGCCTTCTTTTTCTGTGGAGATGTAACAATGTTACTTTTTTATACTGGGAAAATAATTTTTTGAAGAGCACCATCACAGCAGCATCACCAATTCAGGTGATGCTGCTGTTTCTAACTCCACATGCGTGTTAATCCTAAAATATGTAGGTGTATGAAAAAATTCCTGACACAATAAACCATCAATAGAATAGATCTATTTCTTTAAAGAAATACTTCAAAATCTCTGTAGAAATGATTTATTTATTCCTCTTTAAAGCCGCCTAACCAAAACTACAAGTTTATTCAAACAAGAAGCCGTGAATTAGGTACTAGAATGCATTAAAAAGATGATCGCGCATACATGCTTTTTATTTCTTTAGTTTTTTAGGGCACTCTGATGGGCTGGTGCCCTGGTCCAGGTGAAGGGTGTACGCTGCGTCTCACCCTATGGTAGCTGGGACAGGCTCCAGCCCTCCTCGCAACCTTGATAAGGATAAGCAAAGAGAATGGATGAATGTATGGACTTTATTTCTTTAGTTTATTTAGAGCCCTCTGATGGACTGGTGACCTGGTACAGAGTGTACCCTGCTTCTTTCCTCATCACAGATAGGCTTCAGTCCCTCCAGATAATGAATTGTACAACTAGGTAAGAAATGGATGGATGGATGCTTTATTTAGCAACATATGTTGTGTATGAATTTTTATAACTAAAAGTCATTTTCGGCCATAGTCACCGGACAAAACTCTTACATAGATATCAGGTGTGGTCTAAAGCTACATGACTAAACCTGGAATGTAAAAGCATATACACAATAAAAGCCTCTAAAAGAAAAAGAAAGCAGAAAAATATCCAGATTACAACAAACCGAAAACAGATCATCAGCACAACATACCATTATTGCTATAGTCACTTGACTGTATAAGCAAACAGTGACAGAAATAATTGTGTAAGCAACTAAAGTAAGAGTTAGAGATAACAGTAACAGTCAGCTTTCTCAATCCACTAATTGCCCACACAACTGAGCAATTAGAGCATTAGTAGGTGTGATGAGGTCAAATGGGGAATTCTGAAAAGGGTCTGAGTTGCCAAAGCTGTTTAGCTAACAGACAGGCATGTATCACAGGAGTAACATAAGATGGGGTATCGCTTAGGCGGCAAGAAGGCACATTTCCCCAGATGTCAAGCCATTACTGTGATAAATGTGTACAGAAGACTTTGGAGATGTAATCCCTTAATCAATCCCCTTGTTTCACTGCCCTGCACCACAGTTAACTTTAAATGTTTTGTTTGTTTCCCTTCTAAATCACCCCTTTGACCAGATAAGATCCGAGCCACTCGATACCCGCATCAATTCATGTGTCAAACAGACAGAGTGTAATCCCAGCTAAACACTATATATATGTAAGCGACACAGCTGATTACCCTCCCCTTCGACACTCTGCGGACCTGTTTGACGATAAAGGTCTCGTCTCAGTGGCCAGCCCCACACTCTTGTTTGTTTGCTGCACAACTCGTCGAACTCCCGGAGGCAAACGGACAACGTTTGCCTTTAAATGCAAGTGCAAACTTCTCCTGACATCACCAGAATCCTCTGCAGCCCGCTCACCCACACACCCTGGCACCTGTGTGCTGTTTTTAGAAACACCTAAATAACTGACTTTAAAACCAAGGGTGTGCTTTTTTAGCTTGGTGTGTGTGCGTCACTGTGATAAAAGAACTGAGAGCTTATCAACCCCCCCAACTCCACCTTGGAGACACACACAGCACATGTGCCCACCATCACTGATGGCTCAATACTTTCCCTCATTGATTTTCTGTATGCCCTGCACTGCCATTTGTCTTTTAACACAAAGGAGTTACCTGCCACAGCGCCATAATAGCACTGTGTATGTCTGTCACAATGGATTGTGCTAGCCTATTTAAGTGGAGGAGAAAACAAAACATCCCATGTATATGATTTGCCATTAAGTTTTGGATTTTTTTTAATTACAGGGCAAATTGTGTTATGATTAAAGAAATAAACAAACATTTTCTAACATAAGGTGCAGATCAGTGTAAGCATCTTTAAAGTTTAATGACGGCTAGAACACATCAAGTTTTATAGTGAATCATTTCTGTAGTATTGAGAGGTCAACATATTTTAATAGATTAATTTCGTCATTATGACAGTTATTTATTTTATGAAATTACTTTATTTTTCCCATTATTTTTTTTCATAATCTAATTAATTGCTAGTAAAATAGAAACAATTTCTCACATCTCGCACAGGGCAGGATAGTTAGCAGGACGACTAGTTAGAGCATGCAGGAGGCAGGATACATGATGTCAGTACATCACCAGTGCTATTATCACACTAGCACAAACTGCAACAATCAAATACCACACAGGCCTTTTGAGCTGGGAGTGTAAAGGCTGCTTAGTGTCCAGTCTCACTGTGTTGGACATTTGTGTTCTTACCAATGACTGTAGAAATTGGTTCTAATATAAGCACATAGTACTCTGTTGGATTACAATTGAATCTGAGCTTCATTGCAGTGCATGCTGGGATATCAAGATGGGAAAAGAAAAACTATTTTTACTTTTTTATTAAGCACCATTTCATTCACATTTGGATGAAGTGCCATTGTAGATATACAGAACCTCATATTTTAGTTCAGTCACACCTCACACATATGTTGACCTTTGCAATAAAAGGTACGGTTGGAGAGCTCTTGAGACCGTGATGAAGCATGTGCACACTGCAGTATCTCATAATGAGTAAGGCATAGAGGTCCTTGAATGAAGGTTGGAAAATCATTTTTTTAAATGAACAAGCGTCTCACCATTGTCTCTTCAAATTCACCAGAATAAAGGTGTGTGCTCGAGAGGCTGGCTGTGAAGTAGTCGGAATTTGTGGGATGATGAATACAGCAGAGTAGAGTACGCATCACAACACTCAAGGACCTGTGGTCTCCCAACTTTTGCTTCTGCACAAAAAGGCTGATAGTCGGGGCTGAATGAGGGATACCCCCTTTGGAAGGAAATTGCACTAATTGTGTGTCTGATATTTTTCCAGAAGGATATGTCACTGAAGGAAATAATAATTGTTCAGGAACTGTCGTAGGAGAATGAAGAGGTCACAATTTATTGGAAAGGGAACTTGCAATATCAACTTTATAATGATGCTATGGAAAACCTGTGGATCATTAAAATAACTGGGAATAATCTTTAATGTGTGTACATTAACGTTTCTATATTTCTTTTGTAACTTTTTATTCTGGATAAATGCAGAATATGCAGATTATACAAATGATATAATAAAATAGAGTGCTGAAAGATAGGCAACTAGTATTTGATACTCAAAACGAATTATTTTTTAAGATGTACAAATCCTCAACATAGCTTCTGTGGAAAATCTGATCAAATCTGCAGACACCGCAGAATAAATTATGTGCAGCACTGAGAAATATTTTCTCCTCCCAGTAGGTGGTGTTGTGCTGGACAGACAATGGCTCTCTCCTGGAGTATGTTGCTGCTGTTTGCCACCCTGGCACTGTCATACAGCGCTGAGCATGGGGCTCCTCATGGCAAGAGGAGGCAGGCGCAGACCTCAGCAGGTGGCAGCAATGCCCTACAGTACCGCTCGCAAGTTCTACAGGGCCGCGGATATAGCAGGAACCGCAGAGGGCACGGTGGCCGGGGTGCCAAGGCTGGAGCTGGGCTGCTCTCTCACAGGCCCCTGCAACCCTTGGCCAGACCTGAGGATGATGGGACAGGCCTAGAAGGTCTCAGCCCAGTGAGACTGGAGATGGGTCCAGGCAGGGACAAAGACAGAGCTCGAATGAGTGTGAAGAGTCCATCCCAGGTCCAGGAGAACCACCTTGTAGGAACACGCAAGGAGAGAGGGCATGGGCATGGAAATGGACATGGGCACCATTCTGAGCACAGGAGACAAGGGAGCCGGCGTGAAAAGGGGCGTCACAGAAAAGGTGAGTGCATCACAAACCCAGACATACATTTGCGCTCAAAAGTTTGCATGGGCATAAATCATTAGTCATGGTAATTTGGGGGTTTTCATGATTTACTTGAGCTGTTTTTGACCTTTCTTTTTTCCATGTTTGAATGAATGTACAGCAAACATCTTTAATTATTTAAAAAAAAAAACAAGGATTGGTGTACAAATTTTAGTCTATTTTGTATTTTCTTTGATCTGTACCAGGTCAAAAGTATGCAGACAGTCTGAAATATATCCATTTACTCACTCAAATCTTTTGGTGCTGAAGGTTCTGCAATGTCTTTTAATTTGACAAGGCCAAGATTTATTATCTTCTTGTTATTATAATTGACTACATCAGGTAGTTTCTATTTGCAAGGACAAAAAGGATTTGTTTAAAAGCACTCAGACCAATATGCAGAACAATGGGAAAATTCAAAGGAAGGAGAATTGTAGATTTACACAAGCATCAGAGGTCTATGGAGCCATTTCTAAACAACTGCAGATCATCAAATAATCATCAAATAGTTGTACATAAGTACAAGTTATTCACATGTGACACCACTTTGCCTAGAAGGTCAGACAAGAGAAAAGTACCAGTGGCACTGTACAAAGTAGATGAAATAATGAAGTAGGACTACCTCCAAATTCCTCAACTTCACCTCAGATCATTGTCCTGCTGGGATATAGCAGCGTTCCAGCATGACAGTGATCCCAAATACAAAGCAAAACTCTATTGGATAAGTATTGCCTACATTTAAAAGCCAGGTTCATGCCAGGAAACCAATTTAAATGAATTCTTAAATGTCTTCTGTCAAGACGAGAGATCAAATATCTACATGACAACTTTCTACACTCCATCTCGATCTTAAATGATCAGATGTCAGAATTTAAAACATGAACTAAGAGCAACATCCTTGCCTAAATCTATGGTCATTATATTGACACTGATATTGCCAAAAAGATTTCAGGAGTAGAGGAAAGCAAAGCAAAAACAGTTAAGCATCCCACTCTATTTATAGGCAAGTAGCCACGCCTCAGGGGCACAGCCAAAAAAAAAAAGGTCTTTCTGCACATTGTCATTCTTCCCATGGTGCTCAATAGAACAATTGCTGTTACCTTAGAAACCACTGTTATATGTCATAACACTGTCAATTTGATCGAGTGGACAGTTTCAGCAGTTCTGACACAGACAAACCTGTTTGGCTTTGAACCTAAATTAATAACAGTTACATTTGAAAGGTTCTGTAAATATGACATAATGTGACAAAATACAGTACTTTCAGGTTTTAAAAGGAAATTTAAGAAGTTCAGGGACTGCATGACAGCTTGAAATACATTCTGATTTACCACTACTGACTCTGAATTTATATTATGAATGATTGTGGAGGTGAAATCAAGTTTTTGGTCTGGTGTTTGCAGAGTTCCAAACTGCAACAACTGGAACATTATCGTGGTGCACAGATTACACTGAGAAGCTTTTTATTGGACTCGTGCTGCAGAATAAACCATAGTTTATGGAAAATTTGAAGAATTAGTCATAGTAAACAGAAAAACAGCAACAATAGCAACAAAAATTAAAGGTTAAAAACATCTAAACCCCTTCAGTTTGAAATGCCATAGTGACAAAACTATCTCATCTTAACTGCAGTTCAATATTAGTTTATTAGTATATTTGTATTGTTATTATTATTTTATATATTAGTATTTTAGATTAAACTTTCTCTAATAATCTGCTGATATGATTTGCTGACACAAAAAAAATAAATGTATTTCTCTCTGTTCAGGGTTTTCTCCAGAGCTGAGCTCTGCATTGAAGGACAGAGATCTATTTGAGGATCCTCTCTCCTCCTCTGCTTCTGCCACCTCCCCCTCCCTCAGCATGACCCCACCCAATGAACCCCCTTCCCCCATCATTGGCGTCTTTGGCTCCGGCTCTTCTACGGTTACCACGGTGATGAACGAGCATCCCCCAACGCTGTCCCCGGCCTCAACCAAACCCCAGGTAACCAACGAAACTGGAGTGGTTATTAAAGGCTGGGTGTGTTGTGCCTCAGTGTGATTTCAATGTGTGGTGGAAATAGAGTGAAAATGGGCCCCATTACAGCCGTTATGCTGCCACAAGCCTCATAGCTCATCATAGAAATGGCACTCTCTACAGTGTGAACCCAAAGGTGCTGCTTGTGAAAAACGTCCTCCAGCAGGCCAAACTGGCTGGTTGTTGGTCACAGTTTGTATGATAGATATGGCCTGTTCTGTATAACAAAACGGCACCTCTGGAACCCAAAATCATGGAGTTCAGAGTCCAGCAGCACATTTTTCTGTAACTACCTTCCTATTCTTTATTAAAGACCACCTCAGGACAAAATCTATGGGCGCAGAGAGTCTTTTTTTTTGTGTCTGGCTGTGCATGTGTCATGAAAAAATCTGCAGGGGTTATGAGGTATCACCCACCCCCCGTCACAGCCACCCGGAATGATGCTTAAACAACATTTATAATGGAAAATGATAATATATGGTTTCCTGAGACTCCTCGGGTCTGTTACAAATGAAATGTGGGGACAGAGAGTCTCTACATCAGGAAAGTTTTTGGATTTGCCAAAACTGCCGTTAACACCCCTGTAATATGTTTTGTGGAAATTTCTTCCATAGGACGATTTCTGCCTCTGTTTCACTGATATTGTTGAAGAGATTTATTCAACACAACAAGTAAAACAGATTTCAATTGCCGCTGAAAAACCGGTTGATTTTCTGGATGAAAATACGACAGTTAGGAAGTGCTGAACTGAAGTTTGTAGAGAATTGAAGACATTTTGTGTTTCTTTTTAAATGGTTCTTTAGCACTCACCGTCCCCCATTAACTTGCGTGTTGTGTGTGCATGCTTGACACCTTTTTCAAACCATTAGTAAATGCTATTTCTTTCAACCACGACCCTTCTGTAACCTTAACTGCGTGTTTACTGCTAAAGTCCTTTAAACCTTCATCTTTCCCAAACCTAACGAGCTCCTTTTGTACCACAGTCTAACCAAGCCTTACTATTCTGCTGTCACTAAAAATGGTTATTACATAGAGGTCTGCTTTTAGTGCCGCTTCTCTGCAGGCAAAATAATCCAAAATTATCCGAGTCATTTCCATTAAATTTGGTGGCGCACAGGCGAAGTGAGACCCATCCAGTTTTGAGTATCCCTTTCTTTAAAACTGCACGACGGACACTGACCTCAGCAGAGTTCTTTGTTTTTACACAGTAATTTTTAACAGCACATCTTAACACCTGTAAGTTTAAAACAAACAATGGTTTTTAGTGAGGACCCCGGCAATGAATTATGTGTCTCAGATCTCCTAATCACTTCTGATGGCATGCTCATGTTTGATTCATGAAACCTTGCCTTAGGATTGCTCCTTTAAAAATGCCAGCACATTGCTTGGTCACAAATGGAGTCAAAGACAGAGGAAAACTTTTTGGATGAGATTATGGTGATAATAGCGGAGAATATAGTCAAGCATTCTCTAGTATTTAATGGACTAAGCACTGTGACTGCTAACCAAACGACTGTAGTGCTGAAGTGTGTGGTCACTGCATTGAATAAGATAGAAGCAGACAGACAGAGCTGGAAAATTCATCCCAGCTTTGGCCTCAGATGTATCCTGGACCTTATAACCAACAAAAAATTTATTTTTACATCAAATCTAGAGCCTGATTAGAAATAATTTCCTCATGGTTTTCAACTTAAAGTCATTCTTATGAATGAGATCCCTGACGTTTTGCTGCCCTATAATAATCTCACGCTAACCCATTGATTCTCTGATTCTTATTTGCAAAAGGTCACTCGTCCTTTTTAGTTCATCAAATAAACAACTGGCAGTTGGCTCATTAAAACAAGTGACATTAAGAATGAGGATGTTGGTGCAAGCTACCGGGACACAGATGGGATGAAGTAGCGAAATGTGATAAAACTTTTGAGTGGCAAAAACACAAACAAAATAATTCCAGGAATGGTCAGGCTATTTTCCAGGAGACTGACTAGTCTGTTGTTTTGATCTCTCATCTCAAATGTAATTTGCTCTGGAGCGGTTAAGCTTTAAGAAATGAATCACCCTTGTAACACTAAAAACCCAGGATGAAACTTTTAGTGTCTTTGCTTTGCTTCTAAATCTGCTTCAAATTAAAGGAGGGGAAAAAACAAAAGTGGGTAAAATAAAGACATTTACAATACACAGAAGACACAAAGAGACACAAAGAGATTATAAAGGAACAGACAACTATGTTTAAAACACGACAGGTGAAATCAATTAAGACAGGATAGGCAATCAGAAGAGGTAGAAAAACAACAAAGACAGGGAGTAAAAAACACATGACACAGATAAAGATCTTTCAAAATAAAATAGGATGTCAGTGAGGAGACAATGCACACACAAGGCAAGAATGGGGAAGCAAAGCAAACAAGGAAAAGGACAATGCTCAGGAAATGCAAAGGAAAAAGAAACTATGACTCTTCTGAGACCCCAGAGAGTGCGGGAGCATACTGTTCTCTGACAGCAGTCAAATATTATTGGGCCAAAGCAGAAAAAGCTGTTAGCCTCTCCTGAACCCAGATCCAGTTGTACAAAGATGCTGAGAGGCTTCTTAATTAATGTTCGATTTTATGCTGATGGTTTAATGAGCAGTAGAGGACAAGCAGGTAGCCCCCTGCAATTAAACTGATTGTTATTTTCACAGGCACATTTCCTGAGGGTAAAAGGACACAATTTGGATCTGTTTCCAAGAGGAGCTTTTTTTTTTTTTAATTGATCATGTATTCCCCGTGAGATATCACAAAGTCCTACTGTGTTACATTTCTATTTTGTTTCACCTCTCTGAGGAAAGTGGCAGTAACCGTGTTCTTATGGCTTTTATTCAAGTTAGGGATGTCTTAGCAATTCATCAAGAAATTTTTCTTTATGACTAGACCATCAAACGCCAATCTCCACAACAATATTTTATTAAAGTACAACACCTAAATTTATGGCACTTTTATATAAATTTGGATCAGTCACAAGGTATTCAGCCACTGACATGAATTTTGAATATCCTATTAGGAGCCTCAGAGTGCTATGTTTATGTGCCATGTACATAAACAGTACCACATGTGCTTTACTAGATTTTTTTTAGCCATTCTTTGAGCCGTATAAATAGGCAGAACAGGAAAAAACTATTAAAGATAAGTAAAGATTCACAAATAAAGAAAAGGCAAGAGCAGCTAGAGGGGCAAAAATGTATCCATCCTAAAACAGCTGTTTTCTCCCACCTAATATAACAACACAATGGCTTTTTGATGATAGGTTTTTAGAAAAAGTCCTTAAAAAGACCTGTTATAATTATTATTTTTGTCAAGTAGCCTAAGGAGCTTGGAAAGAAAAGCATCTGGACTTCTTTGAGTTGCTTGAAGACGTTTCACCTCTCATCCGAGAAGCTTCTTCAGTTCTTTGT